AAAGAACTAAACTGGAAACTCCTTTTCATACTGGCGGTCACGAAAGCAAAGAAGGGAAAAAGCTAACGGGGCGGCACGAAGGAGAGCCTTCTCTTCCTTGGATTAACTTAACCTTGGACTTGACTCGATGGAATGCGCCGTGCAGTGACCTCCGTTCGCACATTGGTTCGCTCTCCCTCACCTCCCTTCAAGAACGCACTCTCGCTCGCTAAAACTCACACGGCCTGTTGGTGCTTCATCTCGCTCACCTTCCTTCTCCCCCTCCCCTGTCGCTCCATTTGGTTTCATCGTGGGCGCGTTGCGCAGCATTCTTTCGTCAGGCCAGTTTACAAGGGACAGCGAGTCGAACGAAAAGAAATAGAACGGAATCTTTCAAAAAACCTGATGTCCAATCCTAAAGTTTTCAGTTAAAAGAAGGAGGGACGTTGCAGGATATGCAGGTCTCACGCATATCCTGTGCCACAGTCGGGTTTTCTTTGATTTCCTTTTAGCTAAAATACCGTTAGAGTGGTCATAAATCACCACACAATGAATGATTCAAAAATATCGTAGTACCGAATTCTTAAGCACATTAACATTTTTTTCACATTCCGTGTATTAGATTTGTAATAGACGAAATACAGATTCATGCGGAATAAATTTCAAACTTCTCCCCCGGTGTCGACTATACTAATAATAATAATAAAACAAATGTATCGAATATAGATACCGAGTGTGATGCAAGATCGTGTATTACATTTCGAAATTTATACGCGAGAGTCCATGAAACAATCAGAATTGTTTTATATATATAAATTGTAAGGTTAGTTCCTCAAAATTTGCGAATTTTCAGCTTCGTCGTGAATTTGGTACAATCGAAATATGCAAACACATCGACTTATACGTGGCCTGACTACCGGATTGTTTTTGCGTTTAATAGTACGAAGTATTTGCTGGTCTACACATACACACACATATATGTTGACAAGAAACTCATGTACGAGCGCACGCTCGTGTGGTGACAGAGACCGGCAACGATTATTATCGATATTTATTATTGCCGCTTTGCCTCGTTAGAGTCATCGTTCTATAAATAAGTCGCTACAAAGGTGGTTACGCGTGCGACGGCGCGTACATCACGTTCGTCGTTAATTTGCGAAGTAGTATTTACTGTGAAATAAGAAAAAAAAAAAAAAAACATCGATAATGGCAATATTGTGCAAATGTTGAATATCTTGAAAATTCATTTCTCTGTGCGAGATATATGCGCAACAGAAATGTGTTAGTGTTGACCCGTACGAGAAACTGATATTAAAAGGTGAATCGAGTCACGTTGCGAGACGATAATACACGTAAAAAAAAAAAATCTCATATTTAAAATAATGTTCAACATTAGGCTTCGATTACATGTTTGCGCATGGGGTTTTCGTTGAGTACCCGCGAAGAAACGATTACGTTATTCAATCTCGATTCCGCTACGTAATCGTGAAGTATGTGTACGCTCAGGTATAACAATCACGCACAGAGAGAAAGAGAGAGAAACAAAGAAAGAAAGAGAGAGAGGGGGGAGAGGGAACCGATAAAACGGTGATTAATCTTATAATAATAATAGATCAGAGGCGTACGCGCGATGTTAAGGTCATCGCGATGACTGTCCGGCACTCATCAGACTATTACGGCCTTCGGCTAAAAATAGAACTGGGCGGCTTTGTGATTGTAGTAGTAGATTTTCTCTCTCTTTCTCTCTCTCTCTCTCTCTCTCTTGTTCGATTTAATGAACAAAAGAAATTGTACGATACATCAGGATATTGCACGGAGGGTATCAGATGTAATCGATAAGAATATCGCTTCGACCTATCCGCGCTTTATATATCGATCAACTTTTTTTTTTTTTTTTTTGGAAAATATCTCTGTTTGCGCGTGCGTTTATCGCGGAATATATCGATGTTAAAAAAAAAAGCAAAGAAAAATTCCGCGCAACTCTCTCTCTCTTTCTCTCTCTCCCTCCATTCTCTGAATAAATATAGAAGTGAAAATAGTACAGTGTGGGATCCGATGAAGCAGCGTAAGCGCGATGAGAGAGAACGCATTCTCCGATCTCGTTCGACGATTACAAGTTGTCGCGTGATTGATAAATTCTCACGTTCAATTAAATTCGGCAGATTTTTCTTACGATATATCGGCCGATAGTTACATTAGTTTGCGATAAAAAGTCTACGATATAGTTCGCGTGTATAATATCTTGAATAATCGCGACAGCAAGACTCAGCGTTTATTGGTTTGCCTCGCAGCGTAACCCGAGATTGACGCGACGTCATGTCGTCGGGGGTTTCTGCGAGTAAGCGAGACGTTTTAAATGAAACGCATGAAAAAGAGTGTGGTGGTGTGTGCCTTATCTAATCGCAAGGCAGCTCGACTTGCGACTAGCACGCCCGAGATTAGTGGCATGGCACGGTGCACGCGATGCATCTTCGCAATTTTTTTCTTTCGCATCGGAAACTCAGTAAAAATTACGAGAGATGAGAACTCGATCGGTTGACAGATCGCAAGTGCGACGAAAGATCGAGTTTGTTGTTTCCGCGTGCGGAAAAAAATTTTGAAAAAAAAGCTCACGCGTGCTTATTCGCTGCGAAGTAATTCTCTCATTCATGCGTCTCCCTACTTCGAAGTACCAGAATTCACGATTAACATATTAGATTTAAAAGATTCAAGAAAATCTTCAGATGTGATATCTCGATTTTTCTCTGTCAAACAGAGAATACATCGGAATATAATCTGCCAGTTTTACTTAATACGTCGATAATAAAATAAGAAATATTTCTTTTTTCACAAAAAATAAAAAAAACTACGCGAATTCGCATTTCGAAACATGCTAATCGGTTACAATGGAAATACGCGACGGTATTATCAATCGCGATATAGTTCGCGGAGAGTTTGCTCCAGTTCGAGGCGTCTTTCTTTTCGCAACTCGAACAGAATCGTCTGATGACGTCAATCAAAAGCAGCCGCAATTATTTATGCACATGAATGGCTTTTTTGTTGTGCAAATTGCTATCTTAATTTATCTTTTTTTTTTGTAAAGTATAATGTAAAGTATAAATCAAAAGCATAATTGACCGGTGTTTTTATTATCTTCTCAATGAGTGTGTGTGTGTGCGCGCGTTGATTTTATAAGACTCGCAATCTGTGTTTCAGAAGACGTGGGCTACAGAAGTGTCGAGATCGCGTCCGCTTTCGCACATCTGCCTCAGAAAGGTGAGTTGTCCACGTTATTCATAAATCTGTAAAATTTTTTCTGTCGATACGCGCAAGTATTTCTTGTCTCTCTCTTTTCTCTCTCTCTCTCTCTCTCTTTCTCTCTTTTCCTCTGCGATTATCAATTGTGATATTTATTTAAGTACACGAAATATTTTTGAGTTAATTGTAAGAAAAGAAAAACAACAAGCGAAAAACACAAATTCGAGGATTTAACAAATATTTTTTTGAATAATGACAACCACCAAAGGTATAAACGTTACAACTATTATTAGGAAAACGATGATGTGTGTCGACCCACATGTTGCCCTCTCGATACTTCGCTGAAATGTATAGCTATCAATTTTTTGTTGACGTCGGTTGACGTCGAACTAGTCCGTGAACGTGATATGATTGGTGTTTTATTTTATTTTATTTTTTTTATTTTGCAACTTGTGAAAACTAGGTTTTTTCTTTTTCTTCACCGTTGGTGTATTGTATTATTAATATTAAACACACTTCGCGTTTATAAACCGATTACTTGGCGATGTGCGAGTTTAAAGAAGCAGATAATGCGTAATACGTCTCGATAAAGAGTTGTAGATAAAAGAAATTTTTATTTAGATTGCGATACTAAATTTGTGACGCAGCGTAATCGCGAGTATGTATAACATATATTTTCAAGACATGTATTTCGGTTACATAAGTAAAACGTGTCCGGGATACGGTGCGACGTGCGATAAAACTTTTATATGAAATAATTATTTGAAAACAAAAAAATGAAAAAAAAAAAAAAAAAAAAAAAAAAAAAACGAGTTCGACAGAATCGATTCGAGCTTGAAAAATAGAAAATAATCCGAATAAGAGATATATAGTGTCACTTTCAGAAACAAATTTCTATCTCGCACACGCAGCGCGTAAATATCTAATCTTGAAAAAGTAAGAGAGAGAGAGAGAGATAAAAAGTAGAGAAAGACAGGAAGCAAAGAAAAAAATAGTTATGTATGTATTTATATTTCCAACATCGCGCGTATCAAGCATCGTTCATTTTTTTGTTTAACTATCCGTAAACCTTTTAACCTTTGTCATATATTCTCGTACATACGGATACTTATATTCGCGTGTTGATATCTTTGTTCGAGAAATAAAAACACGAATAAAAAGCATTTTTGTTTTTTTCACAACAACTTAAAAGCTCGTGAAAATGTACAACCGAGTATTAAGGTCAATACGCAAGTCAATATGCAAGCCGGATTGTTCGTGCAATTATAGATATATGTGTATTTATTTACTTACCTCAAACGTGTAAATTAATAACACGTGGAAATTCGAATTAAATTTATTTCACATCGAATGCTTGGTTTGTATACATGTGAAATATTCAATTTTTATTCCCCTTTATGAAATTTAAAATTTGATTGCGTTTTTTTTAAACACACACGCGATATCGAATTTTATTCAAAACTTTGGTAACTGATTTGAATTTTATTTAAATATCTTGGTTATTACATAGAGAAAAAAAAAGATTTTTGTATAATTTTTGTTTATTAGCATAAAAAAATAAGCGAAAAATACACGTCGAGAACAGATAAGATTCTCTAATTCTGTTCTGAGCAGAAGTAAAACATGAAGAAAAAAACTGCGTTGTAAGGAATAATAAATTTCACACTGACTGTCACTTACACGTTGTCGATTATATATTATATTCACCTGAGCGACGAAAAAATGACAAATTCAAATTAGTCGGTCAAAATTATCCTCATACTTGACATTTAAGTTCGTCGCGCTGCTTTAAAATCGTCGAAGAAGAAATTTTTTTTCTCTCTCTCTCTCTCTCTCTTTCATGAAAAAAAAGCGGATTACTTTATTGTCCTCTCTGATGCACACGAACCTGAGTATATGTGGACAGCACGTGACGCGAGCCGGTCATTCGCGATTGGTCAATATCCTCCGGTTCCCCGCTTTCGATGCGACCGCTACGGGATGGTCCCCTTCTCCGCTTCCCCCGATGTATCCTTTCATCGCGCTGTGAACGCGATGAAGAATCAGAGCCACTTGTAGTCGCGATCGTTTCGCTCCAGCTCAGTCGTGATCCGCCTACCGAGCGGGCAGCAGCTTTAAGCGCGCGTCGCGTTCTCTTGACTCCCCCTCTTTTCTCGAGTCGCGCACCACAAAGTGTCCCTCGATCTATGTGTGTGTTTCTCTCTCTCTTTCGTTTCGTCTTCGGGCTCGCGTAATCGCGCTTCCAGCGCGCGAAGCTAAATTTAGCGCTGACCGTTGCTTTTGCCGTGCCGAGGCGCGACGTGTATGAAACGCGTCTCTCTTCTTCGCCTCCGCCGTCGTTTCCTGTGCCGCACGCGCGCGCCGAGGTCGCGAAACGCGGAGAAAATGCCACCGGATAGCAGCAGCAGCAGCAGCAGCAGCCGTCGCCGCAACATGGCCCACCTGTGAAGCTACGTTGCAGGCCAATCACGCAAGTTGATTCCTCGGAGGAGCAAAAAGAAACTTGCCGGCAAGAGAAACTTTTCGGAGAGACCGGGACGAACGGGGAATTCTTCAACCGGGAGTTGAGCGTCACTGAAAAAGTGTCACATATCGGATCTCGGATGGAGTGCGTTGTGTGTGCGCAAGAGGATTAAAACTTGAACTTGCGCGACTTATTTGCCGCGATAATACGTCGTCGTCGTCGTCGTCGTTGACACACGTGTCTCTCTCGTGCGAAATCCCGTCGTCACGACGCAATATATATATCGCTCGTGTTTTTCCGCAGAGAGAAAGAAAACGCGCGTTGTAGCGCGCGTTTTATGTGTTCGATCTGTCACACACGCGCAAACATTACGACACATCGACAAGTGCAAATGTGCGATAATACTCGTGTTTTACGCACATCAGCGGCGGATCACACCGAAAAGATGTTTGATCTCGGGCAATAAAAAAGCGAATAGAGTATGCGTGACGTTCGTGCAATCAACCGGATGAAAAACGATCTTCCTCGCGTCTCCGGTTCGCGAGGTTTCGAATTTTGAGTGACAGCGAATATTTTCTTTCTTTTTTTTTGTTGGTTTTTTTACACTCGCGGCTTCGAAAAGCGAGGACGCAACAATTCGCGCATACACACACACACACGTGCGCGCGTTCTCAATCGGCAAAACGAAGCTTCGACGGTGAGGGTCGCGCAAAGCCGAGCGAGCGATAAGTGGCCGCTCGTGTGCGCGTAATAAACTCTAAAAATAGCCGCGCTATCGCAAGCGAGTATCGAGGCGATAAATATCGCCGCGACAACACGCGCTTTTGTTGCGTTGCGAATTCCACAGTTTTCTTCTGTTCGATCGCCGCGAGATAGCGCGTGAAATAACGCGAGGCTAGTAGAAGAACACGCAAGGGGTGCCGATTTTTTCAAATCCTCGTAATCGGACGCAGCGAGACGAACGCTGCAAGAAGAAAACTCACATCAATTTCGTGCGAGACGCATCTTCACACGTCGCTGGATAATTTTTCGAAAATTAGACAGTCGGTGGAAAAAAAAGACGGAGTCGGTGAAACGAGCACACGATTCATGTAATCGCGCGATACCGAGAAACCGTGGAGCGGCAAACGGAGCGTAAGAAAAAAAAAAACTCGGGCTTCCATTAATGCGCCACGAGTCTTCGTTTTTTTTTTTTTTTTTTCGTTATCTTGATCATTCTCGAGGAAAGGTCGACGTTGTACGTCGAAAGAGAGAGATTAAAATAGTACACGTGTGACAAAAACAATCAATTAACGTTTCTTCGTGCGGCACAGAAATATGCAGCGCGATGATATCCGTTTTGCATTCAGGTTCGATCTTTCGAGTTATCGAAAAATTATACGTAACGTGATTAATGCGATTGATTAAATATATATATATATATATCGATCAAAATAATCTTCAACGGAGACAACAGTTGAGTGACAGGAAGTGAAATATCGTGCTTTTGTGTGTATCGAACAAAGATAAGAAAAAAGTCGTTGACGTCACAAGTGGCCTGCAAGTAACTTGTCAGTATCGAAATCGATAAAAACAAAACAGTGAAAAAAAAAAAAAAAACTTGGCAGTTTTATCGGTTGTTACATTTTTGATCGGCATCGATTGTGGTGGTGCACGCTCGATTTCGCGAATCGCAATTGCACAAATTTTCTCACGTAAAGTCGACACACAACGTCGTGCATGCCGTCGAAAACTCGCTGCAAAACTCCCCGATCGATATCGTCGATAACGATATAAAAGAGAGGGGGTGGACGCAGTCCGATCGCGCGGAGAGAGAGTTGTTCGAGTTTCGACCGGGAAACATCGAGAAACACCCCGCGAAACGAATTATGAAGGTTTACGTGGAGCGCGCGGACGCGTTCGATCGATACACGCGCGCGGAAAGTTCAGGCATGAAGATCGCTCGCGAGCATTACGATCGCGCGACAACGATCGTCCGCCGCCACCATTACTACCTGCATCACGGTGGCGGCGGTCACCACGACAGACATCGTGGAATGTTACCGGACGTGTGCCGTTGTTCCATGTGCGTTCCAGAAATGGCCAGGGACACGCCGGGCTCGCCGATGCCGCGACCACGGGATCTGGGCGCCGGAGGCGGCACGGCCACAGCCACCCTGACTTCCGGCGCTTATCACGCCGCAGCCACCGATCCCGCTCTGCACGATCACGCGCTGCAGCAGAGGATACTCGAGGTAACGTATCGTCACTCCCTTCGTATAATTACATAAGTGTCACATATGGGATTTTCAGTTTATTGCATAGTGACACTCAGAAAGTCATGTTCATTGTGGTCACCAAGTATTAAAAAAAAATATTCATAAGTATGGTAAAAATTTAAAACCGAAAGATCCCTTAACTAGGGAAACTATATGAAGCTTCAAACTTTTAAACTGCTCTCCTCTAAAATTTGCGTTTTGGAGTTACGGGATTATACATAGGGAGTGACGGTATGATGACTGCGCGTTTATGTGCAAGAGCGCGTTTGTTGTTCAGAATTTTTCACGCGCGTTTTTCGAGAGAGGAAAAAAACACGTTTAGAGGTGACAGTTTCGTAAAAACTTGGCGCATAGACAATGAGATTTAAGATTTTACGAGACAATATATTGTCGCGAGATCTTTTGTTTTTTTTTTTTTTATTAGATTATATCAATGTGCAAAAAGTTGCGAAGGTTGTGCAATATTTTGTGATTCATATACTGAGGTCTGATTGTGACACATTGCTATTTCCGAAAGGAGAACGCACGGAAGTAGGACAATAGAGTCGCCTCGATAACGCTAAAGCGTGTTGTTTCGCGGTTTGCTCTAACGTATATTTCAAATTTTCCATCTCTCTTTGTTTTTCCTCTTTTTCTCGTTTTTTTTATTGGTCGTTATTCGCGATTGAAGTACTCGCGCCAGAATACTTTCCGTATCTAGGATACTTTCCGTAATGCGAGCGATGTTGTTAAAAGCAATTACGCGATGGATAAAACGTAGAGAGAGAGAAAGAGAGAGAGAGAAGTTTATCTCTTTCGGAAACTTGCGACGAAGAAGTTTACAGATTGTGCCGCAATCTCTTTTTATCTCTCTATCTCTCTCTCTCTCTCCGGTGTTTCGGGTGAATTCAATCGATTTCGCGCGGTTTGGTTACATTGCAATTAAGTTCAAGGTCGCCGATACACTTGCGCGAAGGCCGAAGATTTATAAATGTTGCGGAGAATTCGCCGGAAATCAAGTGTATATATATATATATATATATATACGTACGCGAATTCCCGTATCGTGTCGTGTTGCAATCAGATCTTGCCTAACCTGAAAACAAAACAACCGGATTTCTCGTTATTCTATAATTCTCCTCGTATAATTCACGAGATAATACGTAACGCGCGTATTTTTTTATTGTTTAACAACATATCGCAAATTTTACATCGGTCAAACGTTTTAACGAACTGTCACGTGTCGGTTTTTTTTCTCTCTCTCTTTCTCTCTCACCTGTGAAGTTGTCACGCAAACAATTTCAGTATCATCGAAACTGGTTACATCTCTTTCTTTCTCGCTAATTTTCTGTCAGATGCGATAAAAGAATATTACGGTTTTATTGTTAGATCGACAGATATAGCGCTTCTCGATAAAAAGGCTAAGATTAGGATTTTATATTTCGCACGCATAGTTTCTCATAGCGAGCGATAAACCCGAGAGAGGAGGTCGTGTTCGACGCGCAAATCGAGCGATCGCGCACGTACTGTGAAATTTCGAATGTGTAAGTGATCTAATTGATTTAAATTCGTTATGTATTCGGATTAACGGATTTAATGACCGCGCGTCGTTGGGTGCCACTCGCTTCATTATTGATCCGTCCGATTTGTAACAAAAAAAAAAACAAAAAAAAAAGCAATTATAAAATCGACACTTGCAAAGTCGTGTATCGAGGGAGAACTTGAGATATTGAGTCGATCAATGAAAAACGTGTTTTGTTCTGTGCGCGATGATTTTTATCTATTTCAATAGACAAAAATGTACATGAGATTTGGTTACGCGCGACTAGTTTTATTCGGCAATTGAATGAAAAGACAAAAATACGCGAGTAAACAGCTGGCAGTGAATCAGTTTACGATAAAACGCGTAAACAACTTTGGGACGCTCATTTACACACACTTGAACGAAAGTAGTGCGTCAAATATCGTACCGCTTGTGCACAACACGTGCGTTGTGTACACATCGTGATAAAATGTCGTGGTTGACATGTTGAAATTTAAATTTATCCCGCCTGAGACCTCCGAAAAGCTAATCAGATGTATTTATTAACGCGAATGACAAAGCGAAAGCGCATCGGAAATCTTCGCGCGCCGCGCCGCACGTGGAGTTTTTACACGCATTGTTTTGCGTTGCGTAATACCGCCGTCGGACGAGGGAATCCGCGATTATCATATCGCGCGACTCGGCGTGAAGAAAAAAAAAAAAAAA